ATTCTTTACCAGCTGAGCCACAAGGGAAGCCCGTAAAGGGTTATATACTTTGCTAAAAATTTACCCACTTAAATGATAATCACATCTAAAAAAAAAAAAAAAAAAATCACAACATCTAGATGGTTGCTTGACCAGCCTAGACAAGTTGAAGTCCACCCTTTGCTTATGTGGCATCCATACACATCTTCTTAAACAGTACTAAATCTGCAAATAAAAAAAATAACAGGGTGGAATGGGTAAAAGTGCTTAAAACATACAAAATTCCAGTTAAAAGACAAATAGGTCTGGGGGTGTAATAACAGCATGGTGACTATACTGTTGTTATAAGTTGCTAAGAGAGTAAATCTTAACAGTTCTTATCATGAAAAAACAATGTGTACTTATGAATGATGATGGATGTGATGGATGTTAACTGTATATACATATATTAAATCATTATTTTATATCTAAAACTAATACAATGTTATATCTCAATTTAAATAAATAAATAAGAAAGTGTCAAAGGCTGACTAGACTAGAAAAACAATATTTAGCTATGAGCTAAGCTATTTAAAAGAGGCATCTAACATATAAGGACGTGGAAAAGTTGAGAGGAAAAAGGATAGAAAAAGATAATTGAGTCATGCAAATAATAACCAAAACAAAACTGATCTGGCTTTATTAATATTAGAAAAAATAAAGCTTAAGTAAAGAGGATATATAAGAGGATAACAAGGAGAGGTACCAATTCTAAACTTTGCATGAAGTTAATAACATCTTTCAAAATATATAACTAAATATGGTATAGAATGAAAGGAAACTGACAAATATACCACCATAGTAGGATATCTTAAACACATTTTTTTTCTCAAAAATTATCACATTTAAAGGAAAAAATGAAGATAGGCTATTTAAACCACATGATTAACTGGTTATATCTAATCGGTATATACAAAATGGAACCAAAGTTACATTATTTTTTTAGCTCACTATGATATAGTTTCAAAACTTTTCCACTTTCTGTATCATGAAACAATTTTTGACAGATTTCAGAGAACTAGCATTATATAGACATCCTTCACCAACAACAATAATTAGAAAATATTAACAAAAAGAAAAAAGAAAAAAAACTGATACTAGAAATCGAGAATGTGCTTTTAAATAACTTACGACCCAAAACGTAGTAAAAACAGAAAATATTAAAAACTGAACAGTTGTCTAAATGTGTTTTAAGATATGTAGAATACAGCTTAAACAGTACTTTTAAATTTATGATCTTAAATGTTTACTTTATAGAAGAAAGGATGAAATATCATTTGTGAATGACACAAATTGAGAAATTAGTTAAAAAAAAGAAAAGAGAAAGAACAAAATTATACCTTTCCTTATCTTTTTCTAAAATTTTATTTATTTACTTTTGGCTGTGCTGGGTCTTTGTTGCAGAATGGGCTTTTCTTTGGCTGTGGTGAGCAGAGCTAGTCTCTAGCTGTAGTCTGCAGGTTTCTCGTTGCAGACTTCTCTTGTTGAGGCGCACAGGCTCTAGGGTGTGGGCTTTAGCAGTGGACGTGAGCTCAGGAGTTGTGGCTCCTGCGCTCTCGAGCACAGGATCAATAGTTGTGGCGCACAGGCTTAGATGCTCCACACAGATTAAGCAACTCCACAGCATGTGGGATTTTCCTAGATCAGGGGTTGAACCCATGTCTCCTGCATTGGCAGGTGGATTCTTTACCACTGAGGCACCAGGGAAGCCCCTCTGCTTCTCTTTTGTATACCCAAAGGTATACTAATCTTCTCCCCAAAAAAGAATGCAAAGTCCTTGGATGAGATTCACTCTTCTGTTTGATATTCTGTAACTTAAATACTATGATATAAAGTTAAAATGTATATGTATATATGTGTATGTATGTATATATAAGGAAAGTCAATACATTTTATGTTTCACAATAAGAAAATGAGAGGAAAGATTTAAAGACATTTGCTTAATATAAATGTACATGTATATGTAATATGTAAAATGTTTATATACTGTACATTTACAGGTTTATATATATATGTGTGTGTGAATATATATATGATATAATTCATAAACACAAACACATGCATAGCAACATAAAAGAAATACTCATAACAATTACAATCCTCATTTCTGTAATTGGTCACATGGTTGTAGCTGGATTATTATCATCTTTCTTTACACATTACATATTTCCTGTGCCCTCAGCAAGTAGCTCAGATAGTTGTGGGTTTTTTACCTTGTGGGGTGATCCAAGCCATTCCTGAAGTGGCAGGGACATTAGTAGTCCTACCTGAATTAGATTGTTGTAATTTTCCATTGACCTTAGTCATACGACATGGTAGCATTAAAAGAACCTTAAGGGATACCCTCGATTCCAGACATACTCTTCCTTCTCTCTGTTGTAGACGACCAGTCCAATTTATTTCCCTTTGGTTGTTCATATCAGTTACCCCAACCAGGAAAATAATTTCCTTTTGTTTGTTGATCAGATGGTATGAGCCCAAAATGGCTAGGTGGCAGTCTTAACTTCGGGTTCATTATTGTTTCTCCTGGTCTACATACTTCTCCTTTTGGAAGTAAGATCTCTAGGCAAGCATAGCATGAGTTTCTGAGGGTGAAAAGCAAAAATTTGGCTAATGTGTCACTAGAAGTAATAGTGAAGGGCACCCCTCCCGTGTTCACCCTTTGATTGCTGGACCTGTGAAACAGCACCAAGCAGTGGTCACTGATTCAGAGCGTACATAGCCAAGGAGAACCTGGCCTCAACCAAGCAAAATTTTGCCAAAGAACTGGTGCTATAATTGAGTCTTCAAATTATCATTGCCCTGTTCTATCAAGCCCTCTGCTTCAGGAGAACATGGTAGGATCAATGATTTTCATAATCATGGGCCCATTGCCATGCTTCTTTCACTGTGTAGTAAGTTCATTGATCAGAAGCAATGCTCTTGTAGAAGAATAACATAGCAGTGGATAAGGCCTTCCACTGTTGGTACTACTGCTGGTGCATTTGGCAGAAGTATTGCATTCAAGGAGTGAAAACCTTATCCAGAAAAAGTGTCTATTTCATTAAAAACAAAAATAATGTCCTTCCTTAACGGAAGTGATACAAAACACCCTGATGTTGGGAAAGATTGAAGGCAAAAAGAGAATGGTATGTTAGAGGATGAGATGGTCAGATAGCATCATCAAATCAATTGAGCATGAATTTGAGCAAACTCAAATAGTGAGAGTTTATAAGCAGCAGAAGATAGTGAATGGCAGAGGAGCCTGGCATGCTGTAGTCCATGGGGTCATACAGAGTCTGCCAGGACTTAGGTACTGAATAACAACAGCCAGGTACCTGTCTGATCAGCACAGGAATAGTGTTATATCAGGGATTCAGTGTTGGACTCTGCAGCTGACAGTTGGCCCATCAGCAGTGACCATAACAAGGTAGTCCTTGGTGAGCATAAGTTCATGTTGCAAAGCCCAAACATAAAGCTTATCCCTGCCACTATGATCAGTTTGTTCATATGCCCACTGAGCAATGATAGGTCTGGGGAAACAGGCTGATAGGTATCTACAGGCTGACAGGCTATCCCATCCATTTGATTATGAAAATCTTTCTCTGCTAAGGTCACACTTCGGTGAGCATTCTCATAGGACACAAATATCTTCATATTTTTAACATGTTAAGAGAGGTCTAACCACATATCTTTTCCCCAGGCCTCTTTACCAATTTTCCAATCATGTGCCTTCCAAATATCTGACCATTCACTAAGCCTCTGGCCATAGCAAATGAATCTGTACACAGTTGCACACCTGGCCATTTTTTCTGCCAAGAAAAATGAATTACCAGGTGCACTTCTTGAAGTTCTGCCCAGGAAGAATTTCCCTTCAGCACTGTTCTTCAGGGATGTTCCAGAAAGGAACAGTAGAGCAAGAGCTTTCCATTTTAGGTGTAATACCTGTGTAGGTGCAAAACCATCTGTAAACCAGATGAGTCTTTCTTCCTGTCAGCTGATTGTGGAAAACTTCTCATGGCGCAATAGGTACAGGTTGGGAGAAAGAAAGTGCTATAGCAGGAATGGGAACCACGGGCATTTGGGCCACTTCTTCATGTAACCTATTTGTGCCTTCAGGGCTTGCTTGGCCCACTGGAAGTGGTATATATGATGGAATGTTATCATGTGTGCCCAATTCTATGACTTGGTCAAATGACACAGTTGATGATGGGCAACTCAAGTTGCAAGGCAACTTGGTGACCCATGATTAAACTTTTAGTCTCAGAGCTATTTCTCAAAAGGATAGTAATGATCTTTGGAGGATGGATCCAAAATTTTAAGGGCCTTTCCTGTGATTTACCTATAGGAACTTTCCAAAGCTCCAGACAATTTCCTTATGTGCCACTGACTCTTCAAGCACCACTGGATCTGCTGAATCATAAGGTCCACGTGGCAGAGCACTTGGACAGCAGCCTGGACCTGATGCAGAACTGTCACTTGTCTTGGGCCCCACTAAAAACTAGCAACTTTTCAGGTCACTCCATAAACAGACAAGAGCTGCAAATCCGAATAAAGTGTATGTTATTAGGAAAATCCACAAATATTGTGTCTTCAAAATTCCACAGGCATTGGATCTCTTTTTTGTTTACAGTAGCAGCCAGATGCAACAATTTATTATTTACCTCAGAAATAATATCTCAACATCCCCATACCACTAGACGCCTAGATATTTCACTAACATACATAGAAAATCACTGAATTTTAGTAAAATTTATTTCCTATTCTTGAGACATAAAGGTCTTACTGATAAGTCTTCAAATCCCAAAGATTGACAATAAGTCATCAGAAACTAGGAAAGAGGCATAAAACAGGTCTTGGAAAAACAGAAAACCTCTGGCTTACAATTTGATCTTGAACTTTGCAGCCTCCAGAATTGTGAAAAAATAAAATTTTGTTATTGAAGCTACCCTGACTGTGATATATTGGCAACCCTAGCAAACCAATACATCTGAGTACTCAAGTAGATGTATAGCAGCTTTATTTATAATGTCAAAACTGTAAATGCCTCACATACCCATCAGCAAATAATTAGATTAAAAATTATGAGTTATTCATTCAGTAATATACTAGTAAAAGTGTCAACTACAAGGTGAAACATTCATTATGCTGAACGAAAGACAGATTATACATTAAAAACAAATACTAAAAAAAAAAAAAAAAAAAACAAATACTGAATCTCCACAAGAAATAGGGTATGATTTACAACCAGGTCATATCTATGCTTTTAGATTTCTATATTTCTTTTACTAAACAGTAATATTCATTGTCCTATTGACTGCCCCTTCTCCTATAATTCCATATTATTAAGTATATTAAAATAAGTCATTATCTTGAATATAGTATTTATTACATGTGAAAAATAACTACAAAAGCATACAGAGAAAAAATAATTTTGTCATTTCCTAAAACTGACTGATTTCTACAAGGTAAAACAATTTTGTCATTTCCCAAAGTTGACTAATTTCTACAATAAAAAACACTTTTGTCATTTCTGAAAGTTGACTGATTTCTACAATATTTCTACATATTTCAGACAGGGTGACTTTTCCAGAACTATAAGATTTCTGTTAAGTTCTGCTTCCACACATTGAAATCACTTCAAAGGAACACAAGAATTTACCAAGAATAGGGAGTCAAAATTTGTATAAAACCAATAAGTTACACAATTAGAACCCAGCAAATGCTCCATAAATGGTAATTATCTGTATCTTCTATTATATGAGATCATTCCTAATAAATAACATAAGTTATATTTTGACACGAGCTATTACATTCTGTTAATTTGTCCATTTTCTCTGTCTACCCACTCTCTTCCAGGTAGTTCTATAGAGGAGACAGTAAAGGAGCTCCAGTGTAGAGAAGCGTCTCAGTTTACCTTTTGTTAGAAATTAATGTGCATAGAAGAATAACAGACATTATTTTAGATTAAGTCTAGTATTAAACTGATAACTAGAAATGAGATTCCTTCCTACAGCACATGTCATTTTAATGAAAAAATATGAAAAACAAAACAGAAAGTTAGCTGACATCTATTGATTTATCCTTGCCAGTAACCTAAAAGGTCAGTATATTGTAGCTATATAAAAATTAATTATTGATGTTTTTTCCGTTATGTACTTTATGTCCTCAGTGGGAAGTTGGCAAGTTGTTTAGACTCTCCTTGAGAATGAAAGTAAAAATAAATGGGTTGTTTAATAATGCCTGATTTTTAAAACAAGACACTATTTTTCCTTCTTCATTAAAAATAACTAGCATTTAAATTAACTAGTATATTGTGAACAAAACTGTAAGTACAAGTATGCTTTCAGTTTTTAGTAAACTTTGAACAAATTTATCTGATTGACTATCAGAAAGAAAGACACTGGGCTACTAAACCTCATTCCTTTTTTTAAATTGCACTCTCAGCTTTTCCTCTTAGAAAGGCCAGTATCAAACCCTGTTAATTCTTAAACTGCTACCACAAATTTACATGCAAAATCTCCAGTATGCAGAAAAGGCAAAATTGAAGTAAATATTCAGTTAGCAAAGGTTCTGGTCACTGGTCTTATTATGTTAAGAATTTATTGAGTAGATTACACCTCAAAATTGAAATAAATAATTAGGACTGTGAATGCTGGCCTCTGAAATTTGGAAAGTAGAATTGGAGTTGGATATTCTAAGTCACATATGTGTAGATGTTCATTATTCTAGGGAGGACCCCCCCTACAATTTCCACATCCTCAAACCTTACAAAGAAAAAGAGGTCTAATACTCTATATCATTATATCAACTTATGTGGCTTTACCCAAACCACGTTGATGAGATATTTCAGTTTCTTAATGTGGTACAGTGAAAGAATATCATTTACAAAGTCTGGCCAGAAGTAAAAGTTGCTGTACTGCTGAAAGAGAAAGACTCCCCTGGAGGTCACCATTTGGTCATCTTTATTACTGGAAGATGATGAGGCAGGAGTATTCTATTGAGGAAGCACAATTTCGTAATCATTCTCAGCTGTACAGGAAGAAGACCTAATAGTGCAAGGTTTCCTGAGAAGGGCATATTCTGTTTCTGGCCCTTCCCTTAATGGTCTCCCTCTCTTTGCGACATTCTCATAACCATCATCGTTGGAGTTCAGGGAGGGTCTCCGATAGGGCCTGTGATTAATGACAGTGTAGCATACTTCTTCACAACCACTGACATTCTCATTTTCCTGCAAATACAAAGAAAAAAGAAATCAAGGATCTAGAGTCAATCATCAGATTTGAACTGTATACTCCGCCACCCCTCCTTTTTTCTTGTCTAGTGATGATCTTGCACCTCAGGTATTCAAGGCCCTCTCTCCAAGCCCTGATGTCTTAAAGACTTCATTTTAGCAACATATCCTATGCTTCAAACTACCACTAATTCTGTTTTCATTTCACTGCAAATAATAAAAGAGAATAACAAGACACTGTTATCTCCCTGAACATCTAGAGAAAAGTAGTTGTATACTTTATGTCACACATACTGAGGTATAATATATGCAACAATCAGAATCACAGATCTATAAGTAATTAATCAAATTGCACAACAATTCTTCATAGGATAAAATTTAATTAATGTAATTGAGAATCTAAATACATTTTCAATTGTATGGACCATGAAAGAAAAATTAAAATACTGCTAATTAAATCAATAAATGTTTGTGATATAATATTAAAAAGAATAAGTGTTTTTTCATCTGTTGATTGATATCCACCATGTTTATAAATATAAAAGCTAAGTCCTGGACATAAAGATTAAAAGGGAAGGTGGAAAGCTAAAAAATAATATATGTTTTATGCTGGTCAGATTGTAGTTGCGAATTTGATTTACTTTTGTTATAGTAGCTTTGAAAATAAAAATATTAGACTTTGGTAAACTTGAGAAAACAATACAAACTTACCAATCACCTAAATTTGTTAAAATATTTTTATTTTTTTTATTTCTTTCTATTTTTGCATTAGAATTACCAGGACTAATATTTAAACTATGAAAATCTTTGATAAATCCATTCAGAAATTGCATGTTAAGGAAGATATACAAGTAGATTTGTATGAAGTTGTCTGTATTTTGCATTTATCAGACAAATGTAACAATGACTATATTACCTGATTAGAAGTGGATGGAACACCTTTACCTGGAGGGTAAAAATAAAAAGAAAGCAATCTAAGAGTTTTAGGACATCACAAATTGAGAGTAAGAAGATAGTGAAAGGGTAGGAAAAAATGATGAAACTTCGAAGAGGTCCACTGTCTAAACATGTCATAACTCCATGTTATTATTGAGGTTCTTAAGGAAGGATACATCTTTGGGGGCAACAACAGTACTATCTTTCTGTGTAAATGATATATAACGAAGTTGGTGACTAAAAGTAAATTTTGAAGCTGGATAATAAAATTTTGTTGATAAATATGCTATGACAATACAGAATGGCAAGTATAAATAAAAAATAATTATGGCTATAAAATTAAGATATAAATTTTATAAAGTTATCATAGGAAAATCATATAATTCTTAAGATGAACAGTCATTATAGAAATAGGTACTGACATAACAAAAGTGACTATATCAAATTAAATACAGATTCAATTTGATTACAGCTATAAATACTGAATTATGCATCTGTTAATCTAAGATTCACTGCTAATATTTTTAATAAATATGTTAGAACTATAGGTTACTATATTTAGACTACTAAATATAGTAAAATCTCAGTTTGTAAAAGGAACATTGAATGATTCTTAACATCTACAACCTAATAGGCTTGAAAGTGATTGTGAGCAAAATCATAGAATATGTTGAATATACAGATTCTGTATAACAACAGTATGCTAGTAACTTTTAACACCTCTTTGTTCTTCACAGAAAAGTCATATTCAATGCACTGGTTTCAAGTATGAAATGTTATATTTATCTATATAAAAATATATCTTTATAAATATCATAGTTTGTAATGAATCAATTAACCAAATATGTTTTAAAATTAGTATTGTTTTATAATCAGAAACTGGGGAATTATGTAGCTTGAGCACAATTCAATTGTAGCATTAGTGACAATTTGGAGAACCAAGCACAAGTAT